AGCTGGGACTCTAACCAGTGCCCACATGGGATGCTGATGATATGAAATGCTGACGCTGCAGGTGGCGGCTTTATCTGCTACTCCACAGCGCCAGCCCCGCTGTGTGATTTTTTTTTTTTGTAGTATTCTTGCTACATTACCCCTTCATACAAAACAGTCTGACAAAACTATCATACTTAACATACTGAGCTCAACAATAAAGAACAGGGGCCCCTTTAACATTGTAAAGTTAAGTGAAGTAATGTTTCCATGTAGCTTTGAATTCTTAAATATGAGGGTGCTTTAAAAAGTGAATGAGAGAATATAATTAAAAGATTTGTATGCAAAAAACAAACCCCTTTATAGTTTTTCATGATATACATTATCAGTGAACTTTCTGAAGGTCTTTCCCATACAGCTACTTCTGTGTTTCTAGAATTTCCACCATAGTGCATGGCATAACCAATGGAATAGTCACCATATAACAATAGGTTAATATTCTTAAAAGACTGCTTGTACTTTGGCTTTTACAAACTAGAATAGAATTTTAGATATCAAGATAACAGAGTTCCAAAAAGGGAGATTCCCAGAGTCATTGGCTCATTTTTTTCTTTCACCCTGTGTAGGGTCTGTAAACTGTATTTTACAATTCCTAATCTGTCAGTTACTAGCATGAAAATTCGTGACTTTTTTTTTAACTATAATCTCATGTTCCCATGGAACCATTGTTTTCATAATGAGAGGCTGTTCTACCACTAATACTGAATATGATGATTATTTCAACATTAACAGAACAACTAGCTATTGGAAGGATAGAAAACTGCTTTTTGTTCCCTGTCTGTCCATCCATCCATCCATCCATCCATGCTCCTCAAAGTCACAGAGCTCCTTGTTGCTTAACTCCCAAATGGTTGGGCCTGAGCCGTAGCCAGGAGCTGGAAACTCAGTCCAGCTCTCCCAAGAGGCTGGTAAGACACATTACTTGAGCTATAATACTCTACTTCCCAGAGTTGGCATTAGCAGGAAGCTGGAATCAGGAACTGGAGCTGGTTTTCAAACAGGCTGGTTTTGGGATGTAGGCATCTTTAACTGGCATCTTAACCACTAGGCTAAACACCCACTATAAATGTATTTTTTAAAAGATTTTTTATTTATTTATTTGACAGGTAGAGTTACAGACAGAGACAGAAAGGTCTTCCTTCTATTGGTTCACTCCCCAAATGGCTGCTACGGCCGGCGCTATGCCAATCCAAAGCCAGGAGCTGGGTGTTTCTTCCTGGTCTCCCATGCGGGTGCAGGCGCCCAAGCACTTGGGCCATCCTCCACTGCCCTCCCGGGCCACAGCAGAGAGCTCTACTGGAAGAGGAGCAACCAGGACTAGAACCTGGCGCCCATATGGGATGCTGGTGCTGCAGATGGAGGATTAACCTAGTGTGTCATGGTGCTGGCCCCTATAAATATAATTTTTAAGTTTCGATGTTAGCTATGACAGATAGCAGGTAGTAACAGATATTGAGGAAATTGCTGTAGCAGCTTGTTATTTCTTTTAGGAATTCATAGTTACTGTTCTGGTTTTTATATTGAATACATGTTGATAGTCATACTGTTACATGTAGGATCTTCAGAAGGTTCATGAAAAATGCTTATTACAAACAATACATGAATTTCAGAATTTTTGTACCTTAATAAACTTAGCTTTTAATCCATTTTTTCCAAGAATTTTTGAATTCCCTTTGTATGTTCTGAAACATTGGCAAAGCTTAGGATATAGTAGACAGTGCTCATTTGGGTGCTTTAAAATAAAACTCCATCCCTTCTCACAAAAGGCTTATAGTTTAAATTAGAAATAGGAATAAGAAGGTTGGCAATAAGCAGTTCTCGGGCAAAAGAGGCAGGAGGCACCTCAAAGAAGAGGTAATTGAGCTGCTTTTAAAGATGAGTACATTTCTCTCCACACATAAAAAGATGAGAGTGAAATAGTGTTCATTATACAAATGGGAGAGACCATTCTAATTAGGGAGAACACTGTGAATAAAGCAACACAAAAGTATGAAAAGGCCTGGCATATTGTAATGTAGCAGCAGATCAGTATGGCTAGAGAGTGGCATGTGAGTGAATGGGGCAGTGATGGTAGATTGAGCCAGTAAGGCAACAGGGACCAGTTTAAGAATGGCTTTCTGTGTTAGAATAGGAAGTTTGAACTTTATTCTATAGGTAGTTGGGAAACCATTAGCAGTTTTTATACAAATCAATAAAATAATTTTCTATGTTTTTTTCTGGGCTTGTAAGAAAATGCTGTACTTTAGTACAGGACAGACTAGAGTATTATTAGTCTGAAGGCAGGGAAACCAGATGAGAGGTTAATGTAATAATCTAGACAAGAATTGAGGGCCTGAAGTAACTAATGCTATAGTGAAACAGATAGACAGGAAGAAGTTCATCTCCAAAGAAACTAGGTGTTGGATTGAGGAGGAGGAGTTGAGATTTACCTGGTTTGTGACTTCTGAGGTTTCGTAGATGGGTAGCATTCACCATGATAAAAAGTATACAGAAAGAACCCATTTAAGAAGAACAGAAATGTAGATAGATTGCTTTAAAAACCTACTGTCTGAACATTCATGAGGCTATTTAGATATATGGAGTTGCAGATAAAGTTTTGGAGTTGGGAGTATATAATTTATAAAAAAAAAAACTGGAGTGAAGTTACCTAGAGAGAACATTTAGAGCTGAATTTTTAACTTGGAATCCAAATATCCTGAAATTACGCAAAATGTTATATATGTGACTTTTGTTATGGGTAGATCTATAGTTTTCATCAGATTCTCAAAAGGGATAAACACTTGCTGCAGTAAATAGGGGCCAGGTATTTGCATTCTTTAAGTGAAGGGCAGGTAAAGCAATCTCAGTAAAAATAGTAGAAAGGGAACAAGCATGGAGACAAAATCATCATACAGACGCCTAAGAGACTGCAAGGCAGTAATAGGGTAGCAGGTACTCAATCCACCACGGATGGGCAGCTGCTTCTCTAGAGAGGTCAGATGAGATGAAGTCTGAAAAGTTCATTGATTTGGCAATTAGATTAGTAAAAGTGTTCCTGATTAACAAGTTAGAGTTATGTGTTTGTGTTCCATGAAGCTCACATCAGAAACAAAGAACCATTGGCCTGTAATAAAATTCAAATAGTACAGCCAAGTGTTCAAGGTTGTCTAGAATTTGCTCTTGCCTTACCATTAATTTTATCTCACTTCAACATTCTCAACTTTAAGCTAGACAAATCCACCTCTTTACTGTTTTTGCATACTTCATATAAATCTTAGCTCTAAGCTTTTGCTCCTATTTTTCATCCTGTCTACATGTTCTCTACCCTACAAGTTCTGTCAGTCTTTTAGTATTGTTTGTTCTACTTTATCTGTTCCCCTTTCTATCTAACCTGTAAAGATTTCTTTCTTTATATTCTAGTTGTATTCATTGTCCTTTTTTTTGGCATTTAAAATCACATTTTTTGCAAATTATTGCCTTCTATTCAGTAACATTTTTTTAGAGGCTAGTGAAATCTTTTTATATTAGCATTTCATCATACTGCCCAGTAACCAAACTTCCGTATAGTTGTTATAGATAATAAAATGTTTGAGTGAATAACTTAAGCGAAACATAGTTTGGGTAAAATTCTTTGGATACATTCCAGATTACATAAGAGTGATTAATGGGTCATTTTTACTGCTTTTTTCCATTTCTTTTGGTAATCAAGAGTTGATTATATATCACAATAAGATAACTGGTATAATACATAATCTTAAGAACTTTTTGGTTTTTATTTGAAGTTTTAGGTTATTGTTTCTTTAAAGTGATTTTTCTGTGTGGAAAATGTCCTTTTTGAATTTTAAAGTATGCTTATAAAATAAGACAAATCTACAAAGTAGAAATAATACAATTGCTACACTATTTTGCCAAAAGCATTCATATTTTCATTTACTGTCCACAAATTACATAGGCATGAATTTGATTAACACACAGAACTTGGTTAAAATGAAAGTGACTCATCCATGATTAAATAATAAAGTACAATGGCAAATGCTCTTAGTTTTTGTCAGAAGATAACTTAATCATATGACTTATGGCCAATTTATATTATACAGAACTATGGTAGGAAAGACTATAACAGGAGAAAAAAAAAAAAAAAAACAGACCAGGATTTCATTGCTTTAGTTTACCATCAGAAAAATTAAAAACTTAGAATTAAGGGGAATAGATACATCCATTACTTCCAACTGGATCTCATAAGGGTTTTAGCACATACCTGACATCAGCAATCCCAAAATGTACTGATTACTTGACAGCAGACAGAAGTCTTTAGACTTTAGTAAATTCAGTTTGACAAATACTTAAATACATGTCTATGCTTTTTTCTTTTTTTAATTGTTACTTTAATATTAATAAATTCCTCAACAGATTCATTGTATTTATGCTTTTTTGATTGTAAGCTATACCATATATTTTCCATGGGAATAATTTTTGTGCATATCCTGACACCATAATTTTATCATAGGTTTGAAAATTTTTAATTGTGATTGAAACATAAAAAATATTAGTGGCTGGTGCTGCGGCTTAACGGGTAAGGCCACCCGCAGTGCCATTATTCCATACAGGTGCCGGTTTGAGTCCTGGCTGCTCCACTTCTGATCCAGCTCTCTGCTGTGGTTGGGAAAGCAGTGGAAGATGGCCCAAGACTTTGGGCTCCTGCATCCCTGTGGGAGACCCAGAAGAAGCTCCTGGCTCCTGGCTTCGGATGGGCACAGCTTCAGCTGTTGTGGTCATCTGGGGAGTGAACCAGCGGATGGAAGGCCCTTCCCTCCCTCCTTCCCTCTGTCTGTCTCTCTCTTTCTGCCTCTCTGTAACTCTGCCTTTCAAATAAATAAATAAATCTTTAAAAAATTATATATATGTATATAAGACCAGTTTTCAAAATAAGCAAAGTTTGCCTTTTTTTTTAGCTACTTTATTTATTTATTTATTTTTGAAAGGTGGAATGACAGAGAAAGAAGGGAGAGACAATCTATCTTCTGGTTCACTCCCCAAGTGACTGTAACAGCCAGGCCTGGGCCAGGTGGAAGATGGGCGTTAGGGAGACATTCTGGTTTCCCACAAAGGTGAGAGGGGCCAAAATATTTGGCCTGTCTTCCATTGTTTTCCCAGGCACATTAGCAGGAAACTGGATGAGAAGAAGCATCCAGGACTCAAACTGGTTATCCGATATAGGATGCCAGCATTACAAGCAGCAGCTTAACCCACTGTGCCACAAAGCTGGCTCTACAAAGGTCTTTCAGTAAGAATTATTGCTTGTTGAGTAGAATATAATCAAATATTAAGATGATACAGTGGGGATAAAATAAGCTGACTTGTGATGGGTAAATTGCCCCTGCACAGCTGCCTCACAGTGTTCCCCAGCCTAATGTGTACTAAATACCACATATGTGGCCTAGACCTTCCAGGTCATTTGTCATTAATACATTATGAATATTGAAACAAGTATCAGGGGCATCCTTACTTCATAGTAAAAACTATTAAAAATTTTCAGGGAAACGTCAATGTATACCAATTGGTTTTTCTGATGCTTATGAATTAAAATGATACTTTAAAATTGTCAAATGCCATTTAACCATTTCCATATTTCATAAATTTTATGATTTCATTTTAGAGTATGTCAGCGTTATTTCAGAGACAAAAAGACTTCAGAAGTCATTCATTTTATATGCTTAAGTGCCTTTTTTTTTTAAGGGGAAATCTAATGAACATGGCATTGCCAGACTTTAAGGGAAGAAAACATAGGTTACTGTGGTGGAAAGGCAGGTTTACAAATACTATGGTAGTACCTGGGGGATAAATGAAAATATTTGATCTTTGGTGGATTGAGTTCCTGCTACCCTATCCAATAATGGATGAGTGTAAATATGATCAGCATTCTCTGGAATGGCACTGTCCAACAGAAATACAACAGGAGCTATAAATGGCGTTTAAAGTTCTCTAGTGACTTTATTAAACAAAGTAAAAAGGAACAAGTGAAATTGCTTTCCATAATACATTTAATGCAATATATCCAAAATATTATTTGAACATGTAATCAGTACTTTTAAAAAGTTACGTATTTTATGTTTTTTTTAATACAAAGTCTTTGAAATTCAATGTGTGTTATACTTCGAACACAATTCAGACTAGCCACGTTTCAAATTCTCATTGACTGCATGTGAGTAGTAAGGACTGTTTTGGACAATCATCTCTAGCAAATTTAAGAGATTTGTGTCAGTGACATTCAGAAATAGTAGTTCCCTCATTTCTAAATCATAATGTTAAGTTATGAGCTTTAAAGAATGCCTGCATCTATGCTGGCCACATGAGCCACTAACCTAGGTCAAAAATAGCTTAGGAGGCCCATCTATTTCCATGATCAAATAAATATTTACTAGTTTAACTTCTGTTTAGTAAAATATTCATAAGTTTCAGTGCCTTTTTCTTTCTCCAGGTAAGACTTTTTACCCTATTGTCAAATATATTATGTCACCTCTAAATTATGTGTTTTATATAATATTTTTAAATGATTTTATCTATATGATCTGTACTTAATCTGATAGAAATTTGACTGTAAACTAAGAAAAATAATGAATACCTTACTCTGTTTTTGTAGTATGCTATAGTTTATTTCAAGATACTAAACCAAAAAATAGCACAACTCCTTTCTTGGGGGAGAAAACAACTATATTCGCTATGTCCAGTGTTGGCCTGATTGACTAATATTTGTTAACAAAAAAGTGTTTAGGTATAGCCTACCTAATACAGCTTTCTTTGTACACATTAAAGTATTTATTTTAAATAACTGAGACTATCATAATCTGATCTGTATTTTCTTTTATATTTTAAGGATATGGAATATTATCTTGTAAAATGGAAAGGATGGCCAGATTCTACAAATACTTGGGAACCTTTGCAAAATCTCAAGTGCCCATTACTGCTCCAGCAGTTCTCTAATGACAAGCATAATTATTTATCTCAGGTAAAGAAATGCAAAGCAATAATTCCAAAATACAATAACAAAGCTTTGAAACCTGCTGTTGCTGAGTACATTGTAAAGAAGGCTAAACAGAGGATAGCTCTGCAGAGATGGCAAGATGAACTCAACAGAAGAAAGAATCATAAAGGAATGATATTTGTTGAAAATACTGTTGACTTAGAGGGCCCACCTTCTGACTTCTACTACATCAATGAATACAAACCAGCTCCTGGAATCAGCTTAGTAAATGAAGCTACTTTTGGTTGTTCATGCACAGATTGCTTCTTTGAGAAATGTTGTCCTGCTGAAGCTGGAGTTCTTTTGGCTTATAATAAAAACCAACAAATTAGAATCCCACCTGGCACCCCCATTTATGAATGCAACTCGAGGTGCCGATGTGGACCTGATTGTCCCAATAGGATTGTACAAAAAGGCACACAATATTCACTTTGCATCTTTCGAACTAGCAATGGCTGTGGCTGGGGTGTAAAAACACTTGTGAAGATTAAAAGAATGAGTTTTGTCATGGAATATGTTGGAGAGGTACGTTCAACTTATCACATAGCAGATGATGTGCATGTAAGTGTAAATTTTTGAAAAATTACTTCTTTTTACCTCGGTAGCAAATACTTGGTACATTTTATATTATTTGCATAAATGTAGAAATTTACTTTCAGGTTTAGAGGAAGCATTCACTGGCATCATTAGGAATATAACCTTTTATGTAAATGAAAAATTTATATAATGGCAAATTGGTACAGTCATCTTTTAGCAAACACCCATGCATAGGACCTAACATTCATGAATGTTTAATTATGACATTGTTTTTACACAAAAGTCCTAAGAAGAAAAATCAAATCTAAACATATACTGTCTTTGAAACTTTTAATATACTTCATCTATTTGGCAAAATATAATTATGTAACTGACAAAACTATTTTGTATCAGTATGAAAGATATAATAGGGTAGACCAATGCTTTATAAGTATTATAAAATATAAACAAAAGCATTTGTTGCATCCATAAGAAAATCAAACTGTGTCTGACTCAGATACTTTGAACTGCAAAGAACAGTCTCTAAATTACCAAATAACTACCAAATTTATTTTTATATAAATATAGAAAATAGTATTTACTGTGTGCTACAAACTGTCCTAAGCACCTTATATATTAACAACTCTGAGGTACTATTGTCTCCATTATGACAAACAAAATAATATAATCATAGAGAAATTGAGCAACTTGTTCAAGGTTACATAGTAGTAAAAAGCCAGGATTCCAGATGAAGGATTTTGAGGAGTCAGAACTCCATAATCAGTGTTCTTGATCACTTGCTACAGTGCTTGAAACTGAATGGTGGGATATCCTGTGACTTGAAAAACATGTGTGGCTGCCTGTTGGGGTTGTCAGTTCTGCCTGGTGTTTTAAGTAATGTGGAATTGGGTCACCTAGAATTACCTGTACTCATTTAGAATTCTGAAATTGAGATCCCTGTTTTGAGCCTTATACATTAAATTCCTTTTGTTTTTAAAAAGGATTTTATTTATTTATTTGAGAGGTAGAGTTACAGACAGAGGAAGAGACAAAGAGAAAGGACTTCCTTCTGTTGATTCACTCCCTCAGTGGCCGCAACAGTCAGAGCTGCGCTGATGCCAAAGCCAGGAGCTAGGAGCTTCCTCCCGGTCTCCCATGCTGGTACAGGGGTTCAAGTACTTGGGCCATGTTCCACTGTTTTCCCAGGCCATAGCAGAGAGCTGCATTAGAAGAGGAGCAGCTGATAATCCTCCGCCTTGCGGCGCCGGCACACTGGGTTCTAGTCCCGGTCGGGGCACCGGATTCTGTCCGGGTTGCCCCTCTTCCAGGCCAGCTCTCTGCTGTGGCCAGGGAGTGCAGTGGAGGATGGCCCAAGTGCTTGGGCCCTGTACCCCCTGGGAGACCAGGATAAGTTCTCTTGGGCCCTGCACCCCATGGGAGACCAGGATAAGTACCTGGCTCCTACCATCGGATCAGCGCGGTGCGCTGACCACAGCACGCCGGCCGTGGCGGCCATTGGAGGGTGAACCAACGGCAAAGGAAGACCTTTCTCTCTGTCTCTCTCTCACTGTCCACTCTGCCTGTCAAAAAAAAAAAAAAAAAAAAAGAGCAGCTGGGACTAGAACTGTCGTGCATGTGGGATGCTGGTACCTCAGGTGGAGGATTAGCCTATGCCACAGCACTGGCCCAAATTTCTTTAATTCAAGAAAGAGAGAGATCCCATCTCCTGGTTCATGCCCTAAATGCACACAATGGCTGAGAATGGGCCTGGATGAAGCTGGAAGCTGGGAACTAATACCAGGTCTCCCATGTGGATGTCAGGGACTAAACCACTTGACCCATCACCTGCAGCCTCCTAGAGTGTGCATTAGCAGGAAGCTGGCATTAGGAGGGAAACCAGAACTAAAACCCAGGTACTCCCATATGGAGTACCTCTAGGCCTAATGATCACCCTGATTCATATACTCTTAAGATAATGGCAAATTATTTTTAATTACTGTACAGAATACTATTTTTTTATTTTTAAAGATTTATTATTTATTTGAAAGGCAGAGTTAAGAGAGAAGTCTTCCATCCACTGGTTCATTCCCCCAAATGGCTGCAATGGAAGGGGCTAGATCAGGCCAAAGCCAGGAACCTGGGTCTTCCATATGGGTGGCAGGAGCCCAAGTACTTGGGCCATCTTCTGCTGGTTTCCCAGGTGCATTAGCAAGAAGAATACTAGATCTTGTATGATCAAAAAAAGGTGCTTAATGAATGCCACAGACAAATTTGTTGATGACCATCAATCACTCTGAACATTTTTAATTTTTTTTAAAAGATTTTATTTATTTGAGAGGTAGAGTTACAGGCAGTGAGAGGAAGAGACAGAGAGAGATGTCTTCCTTTCATTGGTTCACTCCCCTGATGGCCGCAACGGCCAGAGCTATGCTGATCTGAAGCCAGGAGCCAGGAGCTTCTTCTGGGTCTCCCACGCAGGTGCAGGGGCCCAAGGACTTGGGCCATCTTTTACTGCCTTCCCAGGCCATAGCAGAGAGCTAGATGGGAAGAGGAGCAGCTGGGACCAGAACTGTGCCCATATGGGATGCAGGGGTTGGCGCTGTGGCACAGCAGGTTAACGCCCTGGCCTGAGGCACCAATATCCCATTTGGGCGCCGTTTCTAGTCCCAGCTGCTCCTCTTCCAGTCCAGCTCTCTGCTATGGCCTGGGATAGCAGTGGAGGATGGCACGGGTCCTTGGGCCCCTGCACCTGCATGGGAGACCAGGAAGAAGCTCCTGGCTCTTGGCTTCGGATTGGCACAGCTCCGGCCATTGCAGCCATCTGGGGAGTGAACCAGCGGATGGAAGACCATTCTGTCTCTACCTCTCTCTGTAACTCTGTCTTTTAAATAAATAAATCTTTTAAAAATTTTGTTTGCTACAGATTTCTGAATTTCAAATCCTACCTGTGGTTGTCTTGGCAGGGCCAGACCAAGTGATTTTGCAGGCCTTATATGGCCTGCAGACTGGATGTTCCCCACCCTTGCTAGAGCATAGAGCCTTGTAAATTTAGTCCTTTGCATTCACGTATGTCCTGTAGACAGCTAGTTGTATACCTTTTTGAACATCCTAATGCTAATGAAAGTAATCTCATGTTTCAACTGATTATCTCAAATCCTATTTAAAAAGCCATAATCTTTTGCACCATCATTTTCCTCCCTTTGTTTTCCCACTTTCCATCTAGCTCTTAATTTGTTTGCATGATTATTTTGATGACACTAGATTTCTTTTTTATAAACATTTGTAGCCATTAATATATTAACTTATTTATGGATGAGTGTTTCCTCAGTTCAGCAATACCTACATAATATATTGTAGTTTTTTTCTGTTTAGGTGATCACAAGTGAAGAAGCTGAAAGACGTGGACAGTTCTATGACAACAAAGGAATAACTTATCTCTTTGATCTGGACTATGAATCTGATGAATTCACAGTGGATGCAGCTCGATATGGAAATGTGTCTCATTTTGTGAATCACAGTGTAAGAAGGAATACAGAAACTATAGATAATTCAGCCTACTACTGTTTTAAATGACTTTCCATAGTTGAATACTTTAAACTATATACCTTTTTTTTGTAAGATTGATTTATTTATTTGAAAGTCAGAGTTATACAGAGAAAGAGAGGCAGAGAGAGAGAGAGAAAGAGAGAGAGAGAGAGAGGTCTTCCATCTGCTGCCTCATTCCCCATCTGGCCGCAACAGCTGGAACTGCGCCAACCTGAAGCCAGGAGCCTGGAGCTTCTTCTGGGTCTCCCGTGCCGGTGCAGGGGCCCAAGCACCTGGGCCATCTTCTACTGCTTTCCCAGGCCATAGCAGAGAGCTTGATCAGAAGTGGAGCAGCCAGGATTCAAACTGGCACCCATATGGGATACTGGCACTACAGGTTGTGACTTTACCCAGTACGCCACAGTGCCAGCCCCAAAACTACATATCCCTTCCCTTTTTTTAAAAAAAAAAGATTCATTTATTTATTTGTTTGTTTGTTTGTTTGAAAGAGTTACACAGAGAAGAGGCAGAGAGAGAGAATCTTCCATCCACTGGTTCACTCCCTAGTTGGCTGCAACAGCTGGAGCTGCGCTGATCTGGAGCCAGGAGCTTCCTCTGGGTCTCCCACAGGGGTGCAGGGGCCCAAGGACTTGGGCCATCTCCCACTGCTTTCCCAGGCCATAGCAGAGAGCTGGATTGGAAGAGGAGCAGCCAGGACTAGAACTGGCACCCATATGGGATGCCGGTGCCACAGGCAGAGAATTAACCTGCTGCGCTACGGCACCGGCCCCACAAGAGTCTTTACACATGTGACTTCATTTAAACTTTAAATTTATAAGATATATCACTTGAAATCAATGAGCAGAGAGTTAATAAAATGCTTAACAATCACATACAATTCCATAGATACCTCAAAGTTAACTAAGTTTTGGAATGTACAGTAATCCCCCTTATCCCATGCCATTAGCAGGGAACTGGCTTGGAAGTGAAACAGCTGAGACAAAAATTGGTGCCCGTATAGGATGCTGGCATCACAGGCTGTGGCTTTACCCAATACACCACAGTGCTGGTGCTATAGTTAGAATCTTAAGTGTATTATATTGTACAAAAACTGTTTCCAAAAATAAGGAAAATTCATGCCAAGTGGATATTATAACATTAGGCTTGTGAGATTGACATGTCTGTTTTGCAGATAATAAGGAAATGTCACAAAGAGTAAGTTAAATAGCTGACCATTTAAGAATGTACATCATGTTAAACTCCTGTTGGATTTCATATCAAAAAACTAATGTATGATTGCCGGTGAAACAGAGACCTTCTGACTCCCTTATTACCTTTCTGGTTTACTTAAATATTTATGTTAATTGTGGTGCAGCAGGTTAAGCCACTGCTTGGGACTCTTGCATTCTGTATCAGAGTGCCTGGTTCAATTACTCACTACTCCACTTTTTTTTTTTTTTTTTTTTTAAGATTTATTTATTTATTTTTTTCATGGTTCTCAGATCAGTTTTTTTATTATTTACATTTTAATTTATATATTTCTTTTTTTTTCTTTTTTTTTTTTTTACCTTTTATCTAATGAATATAAATTTTCAAAGTACGACTTATGGATTACAATGGCTTCCCCCCCAAGGATTGATTTATTTTAAAGAGTTACACAGAGAAGGAGAGGGAGACAGAGGTCTTCCATACGCTGGTTCACTCCTCAGTTGGCCACAATGGCTAGAACTGTGCCAATCCAAAGCTAGGAGCTTTTTCTGGGTTTCCCATGTGTGTGCAGGGGCCCCAGGACTTGGGCCACCTTCTGCTGCTTTCCCAGGCCATAGCAGAGAGCTGGATCAGAAGTGGAAGAGCTGGGACTTGAACCGGTGCCCATATGGGATGCCAGCACTGCAGGCAGCAGCTTTACCTGCTATGCCACAGCGCCAGCCCCAACTACTGCACTTCTAATCCAACTTCCTGCTGATGTCCCTAGGAAGGCAGCAGATGATGGCTCAAATACTTGAGTCCCTGCCATCCATGTATGAAACCTGGATGGAATACCATGCTCCAGGCTTCAGCCTGGCCCCACCCTGGATGGTGAGCATGCAAAGAGGGAACCAACAGATCTCTTTCTCTCAAATATTTTTTAAAAGGCTTTTTTCTCACTGATAAATTTGAGATACAGTCGTCCCTTGGTATCCATAGTGGATTAGTTTTAGGAAAATTCTCAGATGCTTAAGGTCCTTTTATAAGATGGTGTAGTATTTGCAAGTATTCTATGTACATTCTTTCATACCCTTTAAATCAAAACTAGATTATATAATACCTAATACATTGTAAATACTATGTAAATAGCTAATATACTGTATTGTTTAGGGAATGGCAAGAAAAAAAATCCATTTTGTGTTTAGTATAGATGCAGTCCCCCCACCCACCCAAATATTTTCAATACATGGTTAACAGAATCTTTAGATGCAAGCTCATGGATATGGAGGCCAACTGTACCTGTACTCCCCAGTAAATTCCTGGGTAATTAAACACTTTGAATTCTTTTTTTTTTTTTTTTGACAGGCAGAGTGGACAATGAGAGAGAGAGAGTGAGAGAGACAGGTCTTCCTTTTGCTGTTGGTTCACCCTCCAATGGCCGCTGCGGCCAGCGCACCACGCTGATCCGATGGCAGGAGCCAGGTGCTTCTCCTGGTCTCCCATGGGGTGCAGTGCCCAAGCACTTGGGCCATCCTCCACTGCACTCCCAGGCCACAGCAGAGAGCTGGCCTGGAAGAGGGGCAACCGGGACAGAATCCGGCGCCCCGACCGGGACTAGAACGCGGTGTGCCGGCGCCGCTAGGCGGAGGATTAGCCTAGTGAGCCGCAGCGCCGGCCTCAGAGCTGTCTTTTTACATATACCATAATTTAGTGCAGAGTTCTGAAAATATCGAATAATTTAAGCAATGACACTCCTTGTGCTGATTTTGGTTTGATTTTTTTTAAACATAGTTTTCTAGTTGTTTAACGAATTATGCCTTTCTGAAATAGTTACAGGTGAAATATTATCTGGGACTTGCACTAAAAGTCTCCAAAAAGCTTAAAACCAGATGAACAGGGTTGGCAAACATGTTAATAAATAGTTGAAGCAGTATAGTGGGATACATGGGGATTTATGCTTTTTTATGTCTGAATTTTTTTTTATCAATGAAAACAGTTATTTTTAAATGTGCATGCCTTAAAGACCTCTAAATTATAAGTAACTTTATTTCCAGTAGAAACTTAAATAATACTCTGGGAAATTAAATATTTTATGTGGCACATAAAAGAGCTCATTCATGTATTTTTACTTAAATCGGTTCTAATATTCCTTTTTAGTGTGACCCAAATCTTCAGGTGTTCAATGTTTTCATTGATAACCTTGATACTCGTCTTCCACGAATAGCATTATTTTCTACAAGAACCATAAATGCTGGTGAAGAGCTCACTTTTGATTATCAAATGAAAGGTATGATTTTCAAATAAACTTTTATTGGTATTAGTTTCAATATGAAGGATCAAATCAGAATAGAAGACCTTAGATCATCTGAAAGAGACTAATGACGAAATATTAAAGATTAAAAAAAAGGCTATAGGAGCTGGTTCTCCTTAAGAGCCAGCATTAATCTGACGGCTAAGCTGGAACTTAGATCTGCGTGAAATTGCTTGGGCTTTGGAAGGGTCAGTCTTCTATATAATATTTACCTTCTGACTTTTTGCAAAACTTCCATTCAAGAAGCTGATTTATTATAACATCTTTTCTCAATATAATTTTAAGCCTATATTTGTAAAATCTTTACTAATTCATTACTAACATGTATTCTTAATGTAAATTAAATCACATGCAAACTTACTCCATTCCTGTTTGAATCTTTTAAGAATATTTAAGTCTGTTTGCTCTATTTTGATATTTTCCTTCGTTTTTCTAAGAATGATGCTTTTTATAGTTAATTATTTGACCTCGCTTTATGTGCTCTTAAATGAAATCAGTGAATTATATATGGAATTTTCCCGGTTAAAGTTTCATCATTTCAGAAATTCAGTCTCACAAATGCGGGCTAATAAGAGTCTATCTATTATTGGCCTACACCATCCTTTTAAAGGCAATTTATAATGACTTGTTTGTATTCATTTATCTAAAAATACAAAGGGAACTTAAATTTCCTTGGGAGTTAACTTATTCTGTTAATCTTAAGTATGTAGTCATCCTTGTTAACTACTTTAATAGGAAAGTTGAAATTCATTCTGAATTGTCTTAACTCTTTTTCTCCTGTATTTCTTCTATGTATTCAGGTTCTGGAGATATATCTTCAGATTCTATTGATCACAGCCCAGCCAAAAAGAGAGTCAGAACTGTATGCAAATGTGGAGCTGCAACTTGCAGAGGTTACCTCAACTGAATTTTTGGAAAATATAGCTGGTGATAATTATAGTTTTGTCTTTCTCAAATGCTATCATTTTTAAAACATACATTTGGGACTTTCTTCATAGTATTACAGTTGTACCTATTTTAATTCACAATCTATGTTTCAAGACATTTGCCAAATGCATTATTGATCTTTCTGAAGAGAGGGACCCAGGGTCACATGGAGTAATGATAAGTATCCATACTTAATGGCTAGATACCCCACATGGCAGACAAACTGTTTTCAGGTCGGCATATGCATACTAAGTCTGTGTAAATAGAGAAATGCCTCAACTATTTGGAAAGTGTTAAACTGATAATGTGACAGTTGCCGAAATCACATTCAACCTGCCATACACCTTAAATTCACAGAGTTAATTCAGTTTGAGTAAATATACATGTTCTATTTTTGTTACTATATTGTCATTCCTGTTTAATATTCACTGTACTTGTATTTGAAATAGATGATGCTGAATTTTATACTTTTCTACTTTTTCATTAAAACATTGGCATCTTAATGATATAGAAATGTAAGATAAATTAAATGTAAAAAATTAATTCAGCTTGATTTCATATTTTGAAGCAGTTTATCGCATTATGAGGGGAATATATCTTAACCTGTAATTCTTCAGGATTTTTTAGTATTTATAAGAAAAATCTCCAAAAATCCCTCTCTGAAAAGTCTAGAATGGCTGGCAATTTTGCTTTGATGAAATGACAGGACAGTAGGATCAGGAGAATTTTTTAGAGTGCCAGGCAGCAGAAATGGAGCACTTTAAAGGCACTTCTGAGTTGCTTAAATTAGAAGATCCGTGTTAAGTACCTCTGGTCTAAAGAGTAAAACAAGATACCTGGGGTGCCTTGGTACCTAATAATGTAACATACATTAACCTGATGTCCTTTCAATTTCAGGCTGTTTTAACATTCCTTTCCACCAAATTTATTTTTATATTTCCTGAAGGCTTTTCTTAAAAAGTAAACTATTTTGAACTGATACTTGTTTTATATATGAATTTTTTAGATGTGATAAACTTGGCCAAAGTATGTGTCTGAATTATGAGACTTTTTATTAGTTAATGTTCTATAAATACCTAAATGGGATATATTTGGGTTTTTGGTTTGATTTTTTTTTTTTTTTCCTGGCATAGTGAAACCTCAGTAAGGAAAAACTGCTTTCATCTCTTTCTGATTCTGGGATTTCTAAAGATGATGTCCAACATGAAGATAATTGTAGCAAATATATCTAGCTTTCAGTATTCCTGATTAACTTCACCCTAAAGCTAATTGCTTTAGGCTTTCATGACCTAAAGTAAGCATGGGTTTTAGTAAAATTGAACTTCAAGAATGCAGCACTTCAAATACCTTCTTGAAAACTCAGTGTAGTTAAAGGAGAAGCTATACTTTATTATTGATTATATAGTCATCACATAAGAGTTCTTTCATACTGTAGACATGTTTGGGGTCTAAGAGTGTACCTAATATCCACAATTTTCAGAATATGGCAAGGACAAATACATCTTTAATGGCATTTCTTGTGTTCACTTTATGAAAAATTAGTCACCTAGTGTCAAGTAATGAGAAAGGGTTGCAAGCTTATAGTGCCCCCAGTGGCCAGGCTTACTTTGTTATCATTTTCACAAGTGTAAAGATGTAATTTGTCGATATAATTTGTTTTACTGTCTTGTTTGGTTTTGGAAAACTTAAGTAGATTAAAAAATGTAAAACTGGAGGGCAAAGAAGAAAAGACTCTATTTGCTAAATTTGCAGTTTTGCTTTGTCCTTATCAGAAATTTAGTGGGCCTTGATGTCTTAAGTTCTTGTATTACCTTTATGTTACTAAAAACACTGAACTGAAGCAGTAAAATAGAAACTGAATGAACTGTTTAGGGGCTGTATTATTATAAGTCAGTGTTTAGCTTCTTCAGATTATTTAACATTTCAGAATTTGTTCTTTAAATATAAAGCAGTTATCAAGGGTTTTACCAGGTTTAAAATGTAAATCCGGCCAGCTCCGCGGCTCTCTAGGCTAATCCTCCACCTTGCGGCGCCGGCACACCGGGTTCTAGTCCCGGTCGGGGCGCCGGATTCTGTCCCGGTTGCCCCTCTTCCAGGCCAGCTCTCTGCTGTGGCCCGGGAGTGCAGTGGAGGATGGCCTAAGTGGTTGGGCCCTGCACCGCATGGGAGACCAGGATAAGCACCTGGCTCCTGCCATTGGATCAGCGCGGTGCACCAGCTGCAGCGCGCCGGCCACTGGAGAGTGAACCAACGGCAAAGGAAGACCTTTCTCTCTGTCTCTCTCACTGTCCACTCTGCCTGTCCAAAAAAAAAAAAAAAAAAAAGTAAATCCATCATGGAAGTTGTATTAATACCATCATTTTCAGTGTAATCTCAGGGTTTCCCCCATTTATGCAAAATCTGGATTGTATTTATTTTTCTGTTAGTTCAGTATTTGTTGTTGTATTTATCATGGCTTAGCTTTCTTTGTTTCTGAATATAGTTGTTTCCAGTAAGGCTACAAAAAGGACAGAAAATGATGTGTTTCTGATTACTTCCTGATGAGATTAACCAAAGGATTACATACAGTTCCTTTAAATGTTGCTTTCCTTTGGAGAAAACTTTTTGTTACGGTTTGTGCTTTTGAATAGTAAAAGTACAATTATACATTCAGTTAGCACAGAGTAGATGAATACTTCTGAAATTTTCTGTGCTTTATTAGTCTTCAGGTCTTAAATGTACTGTGTTAGATACTGCCTGGAAATGCAAAGGAATTTTAGAATTCAGAGCTAATTTTCATTGAGCAAGTCTTAAACATTTTATACAATATGTACTCAGAAATCTATAAGGTTGGTGCTGTCATTCCTATATAACTAAGGTAACAGGCTTAAACTGGTTAAGTAATACTAATATGCCCAAGATCACCTGTAAATTATACCTGTTTTTATCTTTAATGTAAGGCAAACTTAAAAAAAATCAATTTCTACTACTTACACAAATATTGAAGTCCTAGAAGGCTTCTTTGAGGGAAATGTGGCTACCCATTGGATTTCTTCTGATTTATCTTGGCATTTTGAAATTTAAATTTTCAGAGTCAGGAAGACACACTTCCCATCTTCTTCCCCACCCCCCCAAATATCCACAACAGCTGGCACTGGGCCAGGTCAAAGCTGGAAGCCAGGAATCTAATCCTACTCTCCTGCAAGTGCTGGGACCCAATAACATGAGCCATCAACTGCTGCCTTTCAAGGTGCCTGCTAGCAGGAAGCTGGAATCAGGAGCAGAGCCAAGACTCAAGCACCCAGGTATCAGAAGTGGGCATCCCAACTGGCAGCTTAACTAGTAGATCAAACACCTGCTCCTGTTGCAACTTATACTTGAAGATCAAGCAGCCATCACAATTAACCCTGTCCCTTTTTAATGCCCTTTTTGAAAGCCATCATAGCACATAGTATGACTGTGGACTGCAAAATCAAATTATGTCTGAATCCTGACTTTGCCCCTTACTAGCTGTGTGAAGTCACTTCTGTGCCTTAGCTCCTAATCTACCTCAAAGGGTGGGAGGATTAAAGGAGTTAATATACAGTGCCTGAAAAATGTAACGCATTATTTTAGTAAGTACTATACATGATGGTACTTCAAAAAGTTAATGAAAAAATGGAATTTTGGAAAAATTTTTAAATCTGCAGTTTTTATATACATGAGAAAAAGATTTTTTTTTAAAGGGATAGTACACACTAAGATGTGAGTATGAGCAACTTTCCATGAGAACGGAAGGGGGTTTCCCACCAAAGTTGGGCTGGTCCCTGTGTAGGATAGGGGTAGTATCCTAGTTGAATATTCCATTGAGATAGTTTGGGCAGGGCTTTTATACCACTTGCCTCTGTTTCCCTTTTATAGGAATCTCAGGCATCATGGCATCTCTACTTGGGGCTGTAGTATATATGTGGTCATCATGGTGTCTTCTACATGATGGGAAGGGAGGGTAGGTACTTGATGGTAAATGAGTGTGTCTACCTGTATCCATGTTAAATCAGCCTGGAAGGGGGTGGGGTTTGTGTGGTGTAGGGTTGCAGCACAGAGGCTTCTGGCAGGCAGAGAGCTCCTGTTTGCTCATTAGCTCCCTGCCTACCCACATCAGAAGCAGTTCTTGTTGGGTCTTGGCATTGTGGCACAGCGGGTTAAGCTGCGGCCTGCATCCCATGTGAGTACCAATTGGAGTCCTGACTGTTCCATTTCCAATCCACCTCCCTGCTAATGCATCTGGAAAAGCAACAGAAGTTGACCCAAGTACTTGTGTCCCTGCCACCCACATGGGAGACCCAGATGAAGCTCCTGGCTTCATGCATAACTTTTCATATGTAGTTTAATGAACCTATTGAAGATTTTACATAAGCATGGACTTGGACTTAAAAATTTCTTCACCCTAAAACATTTTTTCCATGAACTTTTTGAAGTACCCTCTTGTAAGTATTAGTTGTATTTCTACCTCTGCTTTAAAATCTCTACAAGTTTGTTGATCAGTCTGTTCTATTGTCTTAGCCTTTAGAATCATTTAACCAACATTCATGTCAGATTCACGTGACCATGAAAATGGTATGATTATTAAATCCTAGACACATAGGCAGAACGTTTATAGGTATTTTTTGAGTATCCACCTTGGATCATAAGGTATAATACTAAAACTAAGTCTTAAGTATCAGAATATATACATTGATTCTTGAGTCTTGCTACCCTAATTTGTCTGGTGGAACAAACATTACCATGCAGCATATTGATGATGCACATAGTTTAATCTGCAAGTTATGTTTGAGACTCCACCTAGATTTAAGTGATGTATCCACTTTTGTTTCCTTAACCTATGAAATGTCAGCACACCAAATTAATTCCTCATACCAAAACATAAGCATAATTTATTAATGGCTTTTAAGGAAGTTAAATGACACAGAACACAAATATACTTTGTCATTTAATTCTTAAGGATTTCTTTTACATCTTAACTATTCTCGGTGTAGTTTTACCACTTAATCACAAGGTTCTTGCATGATACACCATCTTTTGAGATAAATTTGATGTTTAAATAGATCAAAGGTTATTCTTTTAGCCTGTATGCAGTGTTCTGTGACCCAAGATACAGCATATCTTGGTTAATGTCCTTGTAGAATTGAAGAACATATTATGCTGCTGTTTGGAGTGGGTGTCCTATAAATGTCAGTCCAGTTGGCTTACAAGTAGCATTCAGTTCCTTATTATTCTTGATTTTCTGTAGATTTAGGATTTTCAAAAAATTCATAGAGGGGCTGGTGCAGTGTTAAGCTGCCGTCTGCAGTCAAGGAGAATCAGCTGCTTTGCTTCTAATCCAGCTCCTTGCCAATGGCCTGGGAAAGCAGCAGAAGGCCCAAATCATTGGGCCCCTGCACCCACATGGGAGACCTGGAAACTCCTGGCTTTGGCCTGGCCTAGCCTTGGCTGTTGTAGCCATTTGGGGAATGAAGCAGCAGATCGTACTCTGTAGCTCTGACTTAAAAAGTTAATGGAAAATATATATTATGAAGCTGGTGCCGCGGCTCAATAGGCTAATCCTCTGCCTTGCGGCGCCGGCACACTGGGTTCTAGTCCTGGTTGCCCCTCTTCCAGGCCAGCCCTCTGCTATGGCCAGGGAGTGCAGTGGAGGATGGCCCAAGTGCTTGGGCCCTGTACCCGCGTGGGAGACCAGGAGGAAGCACCTGGCTCCTGGTTTTGGATCAGCGCGATGCGCCGGCCGGGGCGGCCATTGGAGGGTGAACCAACTGCAAAAGGCAGACCTTTCTCTTTCTCTCACTGTCCACTCTGTCAAAAATTTAAAAAATTATATATATATATATTATGAAAAAACTAGATATGGATTTAAAATTTTCTTACCAAAATATTTAATTCCATTTTCCATGAACTTTTTGAAGTACCTCCATATTACTGAGAGGGATGTTAAGAGTCCTTAATTATAATTGTGCATTATTTTGTGTCTTTTCAGCAGGTTTTGTTTCATTTACTTTGAATTTGTTAGGTATACATTTAGTATTATGTTGTGGTGAACTGGGACTTTTATCACTAGGACATTGCTTGATACTAACATAGCCATACCAGCTTTCCTTTAGAGTTTTACATGGTATATCATTTTTCATCCTTTTACTTTTTTTTTAAGATTTATTTATTTGAAAGTCAAAGTTACACAGAGAAGGAGAGGCAGAGAGAGAGAGAGGTCTTCCACCTGCTGATTTACTCCCCAAATGGTTGCAGTGGCCAGAGCTGTGCTGATCTGGAGCCAGGGGCCAGGAGCCACTTCCAGGTCTCCCACGCGGGTGCAGGGGCTCAGTGACTTGGGCCATCTTCTACGGTTTTCCCAGGCCATAGCAGAGAGCTGGATAGGAAGTGGAGCAGCCGGTATTCGAACCAACATCCACATGAAATGCCGGCACTGAAGGTGGCAGCTTTACCCACTATGCCACAGTGCAGGCCCGTATCCTTTTAACCTGCATATATCATTTAAATTTAATTTCTTACAGGAAGCATATATAACTGGTTTATTTTTAGCCTGAATCTGTCTTTGCATCGGTATGTCCAGGGCATTTATGCTTAATCTAATTCTTGGCTTTTTTGGATTTAGTTCTACCAATTTGTTTGCTTTCTGATTTTTGTTCCTAGGTCCCCTTTAATACCTTCTTTTGGGTTATTTGAACATTTTTAGGTTTTCTATTTAATAGTCACATTGATGAATTTAAGTTTTTTAGTGATTGTTCTAGGACCAAGTGTTTTTAATTCTTCAGTATCCAAGAGTGAGCATTTTCTTTTTCAACTACTATTCTCTCACCTGCTGCCAGCTTCTCATATAAATGTTGCAGATGCTCTCGTTTGGGTAACTCAGCTTCTGGAGTTGAGGGAATTTCAAAATCAGAGGAGCTCTGCGAATCTGTGTTTGTGCTAAGATGTAGCAACCTTTTTTCCTCAGGTAAATGTTTCCCATCACTTAGAGTGGTTGGTTCCCCAATACTGGGAACTACAGTTAAACCTGCATCCCTGCTTTTCAAATCAGAGTAAGTATCCTTTGGGCAAAGTACATTTTGTTCCATCTGAGAGACAGGTATATTCTCTTTGATTCTTGGTCTACAGCCACCTTGGTTCAAAGAGGTAGTATCTCCATTGTTTCTTTCTTGGGAAGATAACAAAACAGTATCCGATTGGCTGTCCCAACCTTGACTTCCTTGTTCTGTTATGTGTGTTGACTGAGACGAATTCTGTGAGGAGATATGGGTTGATTCTTCATCAGAGTCACTGAAAAGCTTTGGTGACTGAGATCCCCCTGTTTCTGTGGAGGGAGGGAAGTTCTCCAAACCTTCATCTGTGATTTCATCATTTCTTTTAAAGAATACTTCCCACTGTGGTATATCCACTTCAGCCTTTTGCTGGTGAAGTGTTACAGGGTCCAGGTCTCCTTGCAGTGAAGCTGGGATTTCTAATTCTTCTTCACTTGCACTATTGGATTCTTCACAATCTACAAAGTTTTCCGAAAGAGAGCTTTGCATACTCTCTGCTTTGCAGCTTCCTATGCTTTGTCTCAGCTTTTTAGGCTGGTTTTCTGATACTGTCGTTGTTGAAAATGCTTCTGGGTGAAGAGTTTGCTGGTATGGAACCTTGTGCCTTAAAGGTACTGGCAGAGGATCATCAAAGAGCTCATCATCTTCCTCTTCTGTAGGACAAACAAAACAGGTTTAAAAGGAAACAAGGTAAAAGAAACCAGTTTGGGCTGTTTAAGTCTGTTTTTCAGTCAGGTTTGCAAACCTGGCCTTAGCTAATAGATGCTCAATGCCCTTGCTGCTTTAATGTTTTCCCTCAACATTTGATTAATACCTATTTGGTGTACGAGTCTGTGAATGATACTAAAGAAACAAACTGAGGTTCTTCAAAACATTAAGTTTATTTTGGTGTGATAGAATTCTGAAATTACAAAATGGCCATGGGAAATGGGTTTTATGAAAACACTATCTTGGATTTCAGTTTTTTTTTGCACCAAAATGCACTTGTCCAAGCTTCATATAGTTTAAATAAGCTTTAAACAAAATACTTAATAAACACATTAAATTTCAGTAACTGAAAGTCAACAATTTCACTGATTAAGTATGCTTCATCGGCATATAATAAATCAAATCTATTTAAATTCTGAAAATAAGAAAGCACAAAATTAGAGGTAAACAAGTATTTCCCCACCTTCTTGTAACACTTAACCTACCTAACTTGTTCTAAGGCTGAACTTTCTTACCAGTAACAGATGTAGCTAAACAAAAAATTGTAAGAGCCAGTAAAATAATGGACCAGAGAAAATGGCATGTTGAGGCCAAACCTAATTCTTCAAAGATCGAGTTTTCTGTACTCTTTATTCCTAAAGGTTTTAAAGTGATAGTTCTTATATTTGTAATAATATTGGTTGCCAGGATATGTCTTTGTTTTAAGCCATGGGTTGTATGACACTGAGCAGTTCTATGTTAGAATTATGACTATATCAGTATCATGGTATAACTGTACAATCCATCCTCTGTCAGAACATTTTCACATCATTTCACCTAAATGTATCTGATAGTTTCTGTATTGTATATAAATTTCTAATATTCCTATTAACCATATAAGATTTTAAAAACTATGAAAAAGAAAAGCCATAGAAGACTGAGATGAGCGCTAAAACCCTTAAAACTTAATAAAAAACGTTTAATCTCAATTAACAGTTAAAATACCATTATAATTAACAACCATAAAAATAAATGCATGGATAATTTTTTCCTATGTCTATAAAAACTGGTATAACCATACTGGAAGGCGATTTGGCAGTATTTCTACAATTTAACCCAACAATATGTGAAAAAAACTTAGGTTCATGTTCATATTATTTATAAAACTGAAAAGTTCAAAATAACACAAGTATATCAGATTAAGTACACAACATCATACAGTCCTAATGAAAAGTATGCAACTGTTAAATTGTTTTTGAATAACACAAGAACAATTTTCCAATAAATGTTTGAAGAAAATACGTACACAGATACATGTGTATATACTCATATACATGTAAAAGTGATCTAAGCTGCTTTTCTGGCCTGCATGTAACTATACAGTCTTAGAGTTGCCAGATTATTTCAGTAGTATGACAACTATTGAGCACTTCTTTCCAGTCCCTGAATGTCTTTCTTGTTTTTACCCCACCGCTCTGGGCCCTACCTGGACTGCAGGCTACTTCTCCACAATCCTAAGAGTCTTATTCAACAGAACTTTAGTTCTTTATTCTAGTATTACACATTCTTCTCACCAGTGCATGGAACTTCCTCTAGGATAGAACATATGCTAAGTTACAAAGCAAGTCTCAGAAATTTAAAAATATCAAAATCATACCATGCATCTTCTCTGACCACAATGGAATGAAACTGGAGATCAGAAACTCAAGAATCTCTAGAACATAGGTGCAAACACATGGAGACTGAACCATGCTTCTGAATAAACAGTGGGTCATAGAAGAAAACAAAAGAAATAAACTGTTGAACAGTTTTTTTTCATACTATTTGTTGAACTCTTTACTTAGTATAGTTAATGTTCTATGTATAAAGTTAATTGAAAATATATTTTAGTAAAAAGAATGGGAGGAGGAAGAAGGGTGGGAGAGCGGGTGGGAAGAACCACTATACTCCTAAAGTTACATTTATGAAATGCATGATGTTTGTATACACATACAAAGAGGAGGAGAGAAAAACTAAAGGGCCTGAAAGACTGCTGAACAATTGTGAAGAGATAACAGATTTTAAGACACAAGACAGGGCCACCGCCGCGGCTCAATAGGCTAATCCTCCACCTAGCGGCGCCGGCACACCGGGTTCTAGTCCCGGTCGGGGCGCCAGATTCTGTCCCAGTTGCCCCTCTTCCAGGCCAGCTCTCTGCTGTGGCCAGGGAAGGCAGTGGAGGATGGCCCAAGTGCTTGGGCCCTGTACCCCATGGGAGACCAGGAGAAGCACCTGGCTCCTGCCTTCAGATCAGCGTGGTGCCATTGGAGGGTGAACCAACGGCAAAAGGAAGACCTTTCTCTCTCTCTCTCTCACTATCCACTCTGCCTGTCAAAAAAAAAAAAAAAAAAAAACAAAAAACAAAAAAACACACACACACACACAAGACAGAATAATAGTCAATAGAACACATGGGCTAAACTATCACACCTGTTGCTTAAAATGCATCTAAAACACCTAAAGAGATTAACATTGAAGGGTTGTTTAGAAATTGGTATCTGTACAAATAAGAAAGTTATAAAAATTGCTATAATATGTACATTAGTAAGGAACAAAAAGTCTAAAGAATCTAGAAGAAACAGTCAAAGCTAACAAAGCTTTTAAAAGACAAAGCAGGAAACAAATGCACATCAAAATAAATTTAAACCTGTGAACCAATTGACATCAAAAACACGAGTGGGTTAGGTAGACATATTAAAAGTAATGAAGTTTAAAAGAAAAAAAAAGGACTTTGCTACCAGGTAAGATGGAATATCAGGGAGTAGACTGTAACCTCTCACCTGAAACAACCACCCAACTGTAAGAAATGGTGGCTTTCAAGAAATGACAACATACAATAAAGCACAATGACATGTGAGAAGCTAATGAGGCAAGTCCTATGACTGCACAGCTCACTGCTTCGATATCTAAGTAGAGCCCATCAATATCCTTGAGGTGTGAAATGGGACTGAGTTTGAGGAAGTCAAGGGAGCTAGAGTTTACAGAGCAGAGGAGCTATGAGGAGAGTGCTGCTCTTAGAACTCAGGAGCTGCAGAGGGAACTTCTTGGGTGTTCAGTGCACTGAGCAGCAGAAATTTTTGTGAGCAAACTACTTAAAGCTTGGGAACAAATCACTCAGAATGAAATGAAACAGTGCCTGATCTTCAAAGCCAGAATGGAAAACCTCATACTCCATGGGCACTGGTAAGAAAACAGACTTCCCTCAGTAGTGGAGAAAGTTAACCCTAGGCTAAATGCTACTCTGGTCTCACTTCAGAAAGATGAACAAGCTACAAAATAACATATTAATTACCTGCTAGAACCTCAACATTTTTTGAAATTAAAAAATATGCAGGACCAAACAAGTGCATGGCATCCAAGAAAAAAATTCCGTTTAATGAGGGGGGAAAAATAGAAACTGACCAAGAAATTGTAGAATATTAATCAGTTCTCAGAAATTTAGATCAAGCAATAGCAATAAAAGAAAAGACACACTGAAAGACTCCACTGTCAAAAAAGCTATAGACAAAAAACATTTGTTAATCTGACCAAGGACTTAGACTATAAAATATCACTATAAGATCAGTAAACCAATTATATGGGCAAAAGGTCTGAATACACACTTAACCAAAGAAGTTATATAAATGGCCAATAAGCACGTGAAAATCAAATTCAATATCATCAATCATTATGAGAGATACTAGTCAGAATACAAGCCAGATAACTACCTGGTTTATCATGTGATTGTCCTTGCTTACCCACTCTACCATTGCCAGCCTTTGCCAGGTGCTGGACTAATGGGACTGCCCAGTCCTGAACTATGAACTTCCAAACTGTAAGCTTTCCAAGAAGCTCCTCTCAGGTACTTTTTTTTTTTTTTTTTTTGGACAGGCAGAGTGGACAGTGAGAAAGAGAGAAAAGTCTTCCTTTTGCCGTTGGTTCACCCTCCAGTGGCCGCCTCAGCTGGTGCATCACGCTGATCCGAAGCCAGAAGCCAGGTGCTTCTCCTGGTCTCCCATGCAGGTGCAGGGCCCAAGCACTTGGGCCATTCTCCACTGTATTCCTGGGCCACAGCAGAGAGCTGGCCTGGAAGAGGGGCAACTGGGACAGAATCCGGCGCCCCGACAAGGACTAGAACCCGGTGTGCCGGCGCCGCAAGGCAGAGGATTAGCCTATTGAGCCACAGTGCCGGCCCTCTCAGGTACTTTAAAATAATGAAAAACTGATGAGTACATAAAATGGGTACCATTGGTGAAGTCATGACTGTTAACCATACCTGAAGATGTGGAGTAGCCTTGGAAACTGGTTTACTGGAAAAGTTGGAAGAGGCTAGAGAAAGTTGAGAATGCTTTCAGCAGCATATTGTAGAAAATTCTGTGGAGGGTTTATAAACCCAAATGCTAGTAGGAATGTAGACACTGAAGGCCATGCTCATGAGTTTTCAGATGGAAATGGGGATCCTACTGGGAACTGGAATAAAGGTCATCCTTGCTACACTGTGCCAAGGAACAGGGCTGAATTGTGCCCCTGGAACTGTGGGAGGCTGAACTTCAAGACTGGTTTGTTAGATGGAGAATTCAAGGTAGCAAAGCATTCAGGCTACAGCATGGGTTATTACCATAAGAATCAGGAGCAAAAGGGAGAACAGAAACATTCGTAAAGTTTCCAGCCTGGCCAGAGAAGGAATGAAGAAAAAACTTGTTCAGCACAGCAAAGTGAGATGGAGAAACCACTTGCTAAAGAAGTTAGTCTAAGTAAAAGGGAGCCATGTGCTAACGGGGAAGACAGAGAGACTGAGGGCACTTCAGAGGTTTTCCAAAGCTTCCCCTTCTATCATAGTCCTATCAGGCCTAGAAGTGTAGATTTGTGTTCAAAGATCTTCCAGGGCTAAATGTTTTCAGAAAGGAACCCCAGGGGGACCAGCTCTGGATTCTGGCTTGCCAAGTGC